GATGTATCATTGTTTATTTGAGGGAGAGCGCCCTCATCAGAAAAGCCTAGTTTGCCCCCTTGCGGTTGAATCGTGCAGTGACGTTGTTGACCTAATTATCAGACATTTCTGGAGCAGGTGTGACGGAGTCAGCCTTTTTTATTCTTATTCGTGTAGTTTGTGCTTTTAAAAACATTATATATTTATGTTCTAATGTATGAAGGTTATTCTTGGTCGTACTTTTTTTGGTTTGCCAGAGTAACCTGTTGTTTCGCTAAATACAGATGTTTGCTAGCATCCAGCTGTCACCATTCCTTGTCAGTGTTGTGACGTTTATTAATAATTTATTACTTATCGTTTCCTTGTTTTTTCCCCCTCCTTTTTTTTAAGTTTAATCCAGAGTTTCTTCTTTCTTTAAATTGCTACATTATTACAAAGTTATACTTCTATCCTAAAAAAGTGTAATAGGATTTGTACATTCAGGCTAATAGTAGCGGTAGAGTATATTGACATAAGACAGATTTATTCATGTTTTACAGATGACTGTAGATACTCTTGTGCCTTGTACCTCTCTCCTGACATCCTGCATATATAATGATGACAAATAAAACAAAAATAATATTTTCAGCTCTCCATACCACCTGTTGCCATTTCATTTCAGTCCGGTTTTTGTGTAATTTTGAATACCTCAGTCTTTTCTCCCCATTTCCCTTCCTAAAGAGTGGCTTCTTGACAGCCACTGATCCACTGAAAGCATCTCAGATGAGGCTTTGATCAACAGTAGAACTGAACAGCCAGATGCCAAATCCTGTGTCAGGTCATTGCTAGATATCTTTTCTTAGATCTTAAGAGCATGACTTTTCAGATGCTGTTCAACAGATTGTTTTGTGTTGGGCTGTTAGGAACACAATAACTAAAGATTTAGTAGACATCCCTTGAGTTTCTTTGGTGTTTGTTAAGTGACTTCACGCAAAAAACAAACAAAAAAAAAGAAGCATTTTCTGAAAATGTACAAGTACAAGGAGTGGAAATTTGTTCAAAAGTAGCCAATATCCACTGAAAAACCTGATAGCTTTAAAAAAAAAAAAGATAACAAAGTCTGGCTCCTTGGAAGTATAAATAAAGGTTGGCCCAATACAAGAAGTGAGTGTGTTAGAGTTGCTCCCACCAGCTGTCACACTGGTGTGAGGGGGGGGTAAGACATACTTTTACAGCAGTTATGCAGATACACGCTGTAATTTGATGTTGTGACCAGATGAGGGCACCATGTCTTTAGAGCAGAGAGAGGAGCCGGCTGACTTATAGGAAAAAGTTCATACAAATTAAATACTGAGTGTAAATGTTAAATAAAATGAATAAAATGAAAGACACGATTCCTCATTTGATGCATATAAAGCATCATAAACCTGCTCCAACCTTCTACATGCTGCATATGATCATCTACTGCTTTAACAACTGCAGATGTTGGCAATCAAAAAGTACTTACTCATCTAAAATCTGTTTTGTAAGGAAGGGAAAGAAAGGGGACGAGTCCACACTGGAAGTAACGTGGTGACCAGAGACCATAGAAGGTGAAAGATATTTGGCAACTTCATGCAATTGCATGTGAAATAACTGCTGGTGAGGCAAAGTGGACCGGACCTGCAATAAACTTTCAGGTTAGTGACTGAAGTCAATGAGAGTGAAGACGACCCGTGATTGACATGTATAACCTGCTAGTAAATACATTACAAGGTCACGGGAGCCTGGAATGTCTGCAAGCGACCGGCTGGCAGCTTCAAAGCGATGGACGACGAGTGAATCGTTTCCAGTGTGTACGCAGCTCAGCACAACATGCTCTGGAATCAGTGCTGCCAGCACTACTGTACATTGGAAGACTCTCTGGATGAGTGGGACGGGGCTTTGGGAGATTTGTTAAGTGCTTTGTTGATGTGATTATAACGGCTCGAGAATCTCTTTAGAGACCTGGAAAATTTCTGGCAGCATGTGTTTACTACTGGCTGTCAAGAGTGTTTGTCATGGCTCTTTGAAAAAAAGAAATCCATGACAGATGTCTTTAGGCCTCAGCTGGCTTCAGGTGGCGGTATGAATGGTGCCGAGTAGGTTCGTAGATGAACTGGGGGTTGTTTTAATGGCTCTCCTTAGTAGGGATCTACTGAGATGCTGACAGAGAAGAAGAGTTCATAACTGGCTCCATAAGTTGAGGTCTGTTGTTCGGCACAGACTCAACCACTTCACCTTAAAACAAACATCATCTCTCTGTTATAAATTACTGCTTAGGCTTTAGTTTCTCTTTGGTGTTGATCAAAGATTATTCAAACTTACCTAAAATAACCCCAATCAATGTGGACAGTAACTGATCACTGTCAAAACGAGCCGTTACAGAGATGTAACTGACTTCTACAGCCATAAATAATTCACTGGTGAGCTGCAGTATGAGCATGATACCGCCCTACAAGGACTCTATAAAGACCTCTGCTGTTGTGCCATTACTGACAAATGACTTGAAGAGATTACAGTGGGACAAAATTAACCTTCCTGTCGTGTTTGGGTCAAATCTGACTGATTTACAACTTAAAACGCTCATAAATATTGTGCTTTACATCCGATTTCCTCAAAGCCCTATGACATCTTCCATACTATGCACTTGAATATATAAAAATGATGAGCACCTCTTTCATTGAATTTTGATTGTTTATATTGTAAGTAAAGACTCTAGTATTAGAGAGAGGACTAAAACCATCAGGTGATTCCCTTTGAGCAGTAAAAGTAGGTCCAAATGTGTAGATCAAGCTCACCAAGGATGAAGCACACCATCAAACTTTGCATGTTGCCTCCTCCTGCTACTCCCACAAACACTGTCTACTTCTGTGGGAAACACTATAATCCCATGCAGGGGTTAATGGTAACCATCGAGAACAGTGACCTGCCATCTTCGATCAATAATCAATTAAATCAAATTAGGCAAATAAAACCTATTAATATAAAGGGAGCTGATTTTGTGTGTGCTACAGCCTGGCGTTGCTTTCAGGTGATACCAGGAGATACTTGCCCTGCAAATCGTCCCACAGTTCCACTTACCATTAAACCGGCCCCCATTCTTATGTCTGCCATGTATTCATGTACACAGCAGTCAGTGCTCTTCTTGCAGAACTTCAGCATGTAGCCATCTAGCTAGCACTACAAGATGCAAGTGAGCAAAAATGGAGCAACTATGTAAAACAACATTATTTGAAATCAAACATTTGAAACAGCTCAACATATATCAGCAAACAAATGATTTCTGTGCAATTTCAGTCACAGTCTCTGAGCTCAAAGTACAGTTTCATTATTTTAAAATAAGAAAAAAGCATGTTAACGTTTGTCAACTCAAATGTTCAGTGGTAGGGAGCGAGACGTACAATACTAAATTGGTTGGTGAGCCTTTAGAGCCGTTTAAGCTGCACTTTATGTAGATCTCTCCTTTTATTATGATCTGAGTTTGCGGGTGATCTCTGGGACTTATCTATAGCACTTGGGGTTATTTTAGATCCATTGCCTTGAAGCATTCCACTAAAGTCACACACTAAAGCAAGCCGGGACTTTACTTTTTTCCTGCATCTTGATCTCAGTGAGACTTGCTGAATAAATACGACTAAAGTAAAACAACATCAAGGAGCGGCAGCAGGCTTTGAAAACGTACTTGGTGCCACATTTAGCTCATGCCGACTGTTTTGTTTTTATGGATGCTATTTTGTCTCTCCGTTGAGGACAAGAGTGGAAATACTTTAAAACTTCATTATCCTGTCGGCTGTAGCTAAATAAGTAGGGGTGCTCCCCCCCCCCATCACACATTAAACCAGGTGCTCTGCCGTCTCCAAACTGAATTCAACTTTTGTCAAAACATCAGATGATATTCTGGAGGGGGGAAAAAAGTCAGCTTTTCTCGCAGTAAATGTCAGCTCCTAGCTTATCTGTATGTATCGAAGCGCTCTGGCTGTTCCCCAAGTAATGTAAATATATATGTAAATATCAGCATGTGCGACCCAGGGACAAGGACAGCCTTGTAACATGGGGGTGAGATGTCAATCAATACAGGGATGGGAAAACATGGCTGTGCATTCAATAAGCAGCATACTGCACAGAGATGAGATGTGCCGTGTCTCCACATCCGTGTGTAAATATCAAAAGCGTCAGCAAAACACAAGCGCTCTGAGCTGCTTTAGTCGTATCAGATTGTCTCAGCGCGAGTGAAATGCGAGCCAAATAAAAAATTCAGGGCTTTATTCACTGCGGCCTCAACCATGTCAAGAAGAATAATAAATAAATCCACAGCAAATGTCTTACGAAGATTTAATGTACATTTATTCTTAACACGTGGAACATATAGTATAAAGATTTCATACTGAATAAATGATATTCATTAAGCCAAAAAAAAGGAAAAAAGAGGAATTTACATCAAGTTTTTAGCTACATCATCTGAAATACAAATATGCAGAATCCGCATCACTGAAAAAAAAAATAAAATAAAAACAGTTTCTTCATCAAGGTCTAGTTTGTCGTTTATGAAGGAGCTCGAATGGAACCGATTTGTGTTAATATTCTCTACACCCAGACGAACAGAAAGTTGAAGTTGTGTTTACTGAGAGGAGGGGGTGGCGCTGGATCTGACAGCAGCTTAACGACCCCCGTCCCCACGCTCACACAGCGTGATACGAGCGGGGTGAGGCGCTGAAGTAACGGAGAGGGCGGGCGTCAAGTAATCACATGGCGTTCTCGATGCAGGGAAACTCGTCAAAGATTAAAAACGGTGAAGAGCAACAGAAGTCGAGAAAGAGAAAGTGTAATGTACAACATCATATATACACTGCAGCTTGGACTGCATCTAGAGTTGAGGACCAGTCCTAAAGAGGTGACTTTTGAATATAAGGGTCAAGTCATACAATCAAGGGACAAAGAGAAGAGGTCGGGGTGTTGTAGGTTCACCGTACTTTGGGGGGAAAGCCGTTTTTCTCTCTCGACATTTAACTAAAACTGGTTTTAAAAACTACAGTTTGCTGCCAAGCCAGCGGATCTCAGTGTGAAACAGTATTATTACAGTATGTTTACAGTTTTTAAGGTGTACAGTACAGAAAAAAGTCCTACAATCTACTGCACAGGCCTCCCATGACAGACATCTGTTCACAGCCAATAATGTGGTTCCTGTGGGGCTGAGTATATAGCATCCAAAGTTACAGCAATTATACCACACCACAGTCCATGAGTCTATGTAGCCTCCAAACATGAACCATAATATTGTTTAGTCTGTGCCCTCTTTCCCCTGACGACCCACCTCCCCCGAGGGAGAAAGCGAACACGTGTATCCCCCAAACTCACTGTAAACGAGACAGCAACTTTGGTTACAGTTTTTTCTTTTTTTTTTTCTCTTTCTGGAGATTTTTTTTCCAATAAAAAACAAAAAAACAAAAAAACAAAAAGTCCTTTCTACAGGGCAGCAGCACACTCTGTCCTATGCCTGGGTCCCAGTCTGTTCTTCTTTGCCAGTTTCTTTCAGTTTCAGATGTTTGAAATCAACAGCTACTTCATGATATTCCTTCCTTATAGAGAGAAGCAGGGGTAAGAAAGACAGTGGAATCCGAGTTGATTTTGCATAAATTAAAAAAAAAAACCAAAAACTAAAAAAAAAAAAGTTTTGCTTTTGTCACTCACGCGCAACTAACAGACACGCACGCACGCGCACACACAAAAAGGTGGTTTAGGGGGAATAGAAAGAGGCAGAGCTGAAACCTCTCCACGGCTGTCATGACTGGCCGATCAGAAACAGTACATCACAGATTACTTGGGACACCAGAGAGTTCATAAGTGGGGACATCGAGATGTCCAGTAGCCGCGACTCGTACAAAGTGAATTCAGAGTGGTTTTCTTCCACCTTAGCCAGGGCGTGCAAAGCCCGCGCTGCCCGCCGCATCATGTCCACACTAGTAGGCTCAAACTGGGGTCCACCCTGCATTTGTAGCAGGGAGCTCTGGCTCTGCTGGTACTGCGTAGCTGCTAGGCTGTCCTCCAGGAAGCCCAGTAGGTTGCCCACGCTGCCTTTCTGCACAGCGATCGCTCGCGCTGCAAGGCTGTCACCCTGGGCTAGGTTAGCTAGCAGGATCACTGCCATTTCACGGCAGACGGCCACCTTGCGCTCGCCGACGAGTCGCACGAGCGAGCCGTAGAGCTTCTCCAAGCGGCTGAATGGCGGAGTGGCCAGAATGAGGTCGACGTTGTTGTCCTGGATGCTGAGCTTGCTGAGGGTCTCGAGGACCAGTCTCTGGGGTGAAAGGGAGCCGTGGGGCCCCAGCGTGGGAAAGGGATCCAAGGCCTCTGCTGAAGGGCACACAGCCCAGTGGAGCAGGCCATCAAGGAGAGGCAGGCATATGCTCTCTGGGTAGATAGAAAGGTCCAGCTGGCCGGAGATGTTTGCCAGAGTGACCAGGCAGTTCTCCCTTAACACCTCAAGGCAGTCCCACCACCACTCGTCTCTCTCGCAGCTCACGCCTTCGTCTTCCTCGTCCTTCTCGTAGGTAACAGGCGCCTGTTTGCGTTCAGGGTGCCTGTGGTGGAGCAGCACCAGGCGGCCCAACAGCAACAGGAGGCCAGGGTGTTTGGACAGCTCCAGATCATTGCCAGGAACGAAGGAGAGGCTCCTCACAATGTTGGAGACGCAGATGCAGCGCCGAGCTAGCGAGTCCTGCCAGTCTGATAGAGTGCTAAGTGGCGTTTCATCCTTGCTGTGAGGTTCATCCTCCAGGATCTTGATGTTGCGGCGGCTCTGGAGATCGGGGTTGATGCTGAACAAATACTTGCCGTTCTCCTTCTGCTCCTCGGCACCTCCACGAACTACTTCCTCCGTGACCGACCCCGGGCGAGCGGATAGTACATCGTCAATGGTGGCAGTGACTGGTGCGCCAATGGGAAGAGGAGGCGTGGTAGTCTTTGTTGGAGACTTGTGAGGTTCAGAAAACTGGGGCTGCTGCTGCCGAACCTTATCGTCACCACTGGATTTAGGCTTCTCTGGGTTTTCTGCTGCTGCCGCTGTCCCATTCACCTTGACCTTCTTGCGGTTGTCAGCGGCTGCTGTTGTTTGTTTTCGCTGCTTGAGAAGCTCCATCCGGCTCTCAAAGTGGGTCTGGATGTGCTCAGTAGTGTCACCACCACCCACGCTCCAGTGTATCAGGCCGCTGTCAAAGCTCTGCCGCTGCCCAAGCTTGGACAAGCGGTTTAGCCGGAAGGGATTCTTCTTCCGCACCACCTTGATGGGGAGTTTATCAAACTTGCTAGCCTGTTTGGGCTTTTCCGAGTGTATACTGGGGTCGTGGGAGAACCCTGAGGTAGAGGTATTGGCTTCCTTGATAGAAGACTCCCTTTCCTTCTCATCTTCCTCATCCTCTGAAGACTTATCTTTGTGGGAGTTCTCCTCTTCCTCCTCCTCCTCCTTTATCTGGACCAGTGAAGAAGTGTCAGGATTGGTCTTTGTTTCCTCTACCTCCTCATCCTCTTCGTCCTCCTCGTCCGAGTTCACGTCCTCGCCCTCAGGCATGGGAATTTCATCATCAGAGTCCTCAGCTGCATTGGGGTCTATTAGGGTGCGCTGGCCAGGGTCTCCTACTTCATACTCCTTAAGGATGCCAAAGATCTCAATGAGACAGCGTCTGAAGTACTCCACTACCAGCTCCAGAAATCCAGGTAGCTGTGAAAGCAAAGAAGGTGGTCACTACATTTGACAAGTCATTCTGAAATGTTGACAGAAACAAATGCTAACAGGTTGTGGATGTGTGCAACCTACCTGGCAAAGGTTAAAAGTAGAAATGCTATTGTCATCATACAGCAGAATGTTAATGGTGTCCAAGGCCCAGGTGCTCTCAGCTAATAAGCCAGACTTTAATGACATCATTACCCTCCAAGCCTCAGGAGTGCCTTTGAAAATAGAAACAGAATGAATAACTAAAAGTAACCATGATCGGTCACTGCAGCTTTAAATAACATGTAAAGGTTTACTAATCTTGGGACTTTAACTCCATACTACATGCAATACATACGACATACTTGTGTCACCTAGTGTGAATACGCAATTCGTATCTGAAAGCTGTCTTAACGCAAACTGAGAAATATCAAATGGTCAATCCAGGTCAGGTAGACATAAGCATATTGTTTATTCCATGTGTAATGTTACAAGTTATCAGGCAAATCACATTTTATACCAATGTCTTTCATGGTGAGCCGCCTGCGGGGTTTCAGGTGGGGTTGGGTAGCTTCCACAGAGCCAGGAGGGAAGGCCACATCTCGCCGGATCATGGGTTGCTGCACGGGAGCCTGGCCAATGTGGGACGCGGGAACTGGAGGTCCAGCTTTCTGCACCTTAATTCCAGGATGCATATAGGGGGATTTGCTGGGCGACGTTCTGCTTTCCATGGATCGGGGCATGGATGCTGGGCTCGACACCTGAGGAATGTGGTTTTGGGAAGCCGAGTAGGTGGAGGGCAGGGATCTGGTCATGGGTGGTCCGGAGCCTGCGGGGACAAACGGAGGCTGTCGCTGGTTGGCATGGCCAGGCCACTGTCCCTCGTGGTTCATGCGCTGATCTGATGGCATCATATCTTCTGAGCGGTTCATGCCGTGGTAGCCGGGACCCTGGCCCGACACAGGGGGTCCCTGTCGGTTGGGATAGTTGGGGTAGCCCATCTCATTGCGGCCCTGCCACATTGGGCCCTGGGAACCATCGGGGCCTGAAGGCATGGGACTTGCCATCATTTGGGGAGGCATCGGAGACTGGGAATTGGGGCCTGCAGATGACGGCCCTCGATCCCGTCCGAAGGGGAAGGGGAACTGGTTCTGTGGGCCTGGCGGTCGGCGCTCCCCTCCAGGGTATGCATTATACTGATTATACATGTCCTGCTGGCCCTGGGGCCCCGAGGACTGGGGTCCTGGCTGTTGCTGCCCACTGTAAGGAACGTTGTACATTTCTCCCTCATGGCGCTTGGCAGGAGGACAATACCCACCATCCACAGGACGTTTGTAGTTCTGTCAGCACACAAAATTAAGCATTACAATCCTCAACTGAGCACAATAATTTTAGCAACAGCTCATACGTCTGTTCAGCTGGAACAGAACACAGTACATTACATGAACACTGAAAAGAGAAACCCAAGTAATAATAGGAGTACTGCAAATGCTGGACAAACTGTTCTTACTGGCTGCTGCTGTGGATACATTCCTGGCTGCTGATTTGGGTAAGGCCCACCAGGGGGAGCTCCTTGGCCAGGGAACTGATTTGTATAGGACTCATGCCTAAAAATACACACTCAGATTACTATATTTCTTCATTTCAGTAAATGATTCAGTTACAATAAGAAACTCTGTAAATGTCTTTAAATCTATCAATGATCTTACTGACAAAATGCTGACATGCAACCATGTCTCTCCGTTTAATCTTTATACAGAATAGTCTCTGCCCTGAATGGTACAGACCGTTGCTGTGGCGGAGGACGGCTAGGCGAGTACATCCCTGTGTCAGCTCCAGAAGGCATCATGTTGGGCTGAGGAGCTCCCGGTCCCATGTTGACATCAGGGCCTATGCCTGGCTCTTGTCTATAAAAGCAACGAGCAATAATCATGAAGTGATTTGATTTAGTCGGAAAGAGAAAAGGACACTGAAATGGCACAGGTCAGATCACAATCATCTTATCTTATTTACAACTATAGTACATTTACCTTCGTTCATATCCATACGGGTACTGTTGCCTCTGGCTCATTGGCATGTTGGCCATTGGGCCTGGTGGACCTCTGTTATACTGTTCCCCCATTCCACTGTTGGGGCCGGGTGGCATGAACTGTTCCCCTGCTAAAAATAAATAAACATAATATTAGTTATGGCTATGAATGAACCCTTACAGAATCTGGGGTTTGGTTACGTGGACGGTGCTCACCTTTCCTCATGCCTCCAAAAGGGTCCTTGTTGGACTCGTAGGGACCCATCCGACCCATCATCTCTGGGGTGCCTATCCCAGGCTGATAGCCCTGAGAGTTGGGAGTCATGGCGTTCCTCCTGGGAAACGCCGGGTCTCCGCCATCAGCAAAGGGATCCTGTAGATTAACACTACTCCTGTAGGAAAACAGATGGCTTTTTAGCAAAATGTGGAATGTGAAAAATTCATAGTAATTAAGACTTTTCTAAGTTTTCTTGTTAATTTCTTTTTTGAATGTTTTCTGTCTGTCCCTCTAACAAGACACAGAAGACAGTTTTTACTGTAGTCTTCTAAGCCCAAAGTTCATACTTTATAACTATAATCCTTTCATATTCCTGTTGACTAGTCTGGTGTTTGTGTGTACATGTGAACAGAACCCCATCAGTGATAATTTTAAAGCATATTTTGCTGTTTTTCGTATTCCAGTTCTTGCTTCTCTGATCCAATTTCACCACAGGTGGAGATTTTAGTACGAACGCCACAGAAGCACGACGCTGGTTTTTGAATCGTACCTTACGCCAGGCATTGGGGGCATTTGCGTGTGTGGGGTGGAGGCTGGTGTGGGGGGCTTCAGGTCTCCCCCCTCTGCCATTGAACTAGTGGTGGACTGAGGGGTTTGGGGTCCTTGCAGGGATCCAGAACCAGCTGCAAAACACAAGGATACACACAATGACTAAGTGGGGGAAAAAACAAACAAAAGAAAAACAGTCAAGTGCTCTGGTTTGTAACACTCAGAGATTCCAGAGAATTCAAAGAACATCCCTCTCTCCTCCTCCTCCTCGCTCGAGGAATAAAGGCACGAGCTGATAGTTGATAGTGAGGCGGGTTAGGCAGAACACTGCTGGGGGCTTTTAGAGCACATGCTGCTTTTGGCAATCCTAAATCCCATTAAGAAATTCCTGAGCGCTGCACAGTTTGTGTCGAGCTGACTGGCTTTTGAGTGCATAGCCAGCAAAAAATCTTGAATCTTCCTGCTCATCACAGGATGCCTGCCCCCTCCTCAAACACCGCTGGGCTCCAGGAACCACCAGGAAACAGTGATGTAAACCCTCACTGTGACAGATTACTGCCTGGGCTGTAGAGACAGGAGACAGCCAGCTATGTGTGAATGTGTGTGTGTGTGTGTGTGACTGATATTTTGTTTGTGTTGTGTGTGTGACATACTAGCAATCATCCTTAACTTCAGCTCAGGACTTCTCACTATTAGCAAGCCAGTCTGATGAGTCACAGGTTCCCATTCATTAAACTGGCACACACACACACAAACACACACAACACCCAGGTCACTGGCAGGTCACAGTTATTCACATTTTCTCACATCACCCTCTTGCCTCTCGAGCTCTCACACATGCACACAACATTCATTGGCTCACCCTCCCTCACCCCCTCCTCCCTCTGGGCAGGGATTTCCCTCTACTAAAGATGAAGGGAGGGAGGGCATGATAGAAATAGAGTCAGAGAGAGAATCGTGTGACTTTTACACACACACACACACACACACACACACACACACACACACACACACACACACAGAAAACCCTCTTCCCCCATTCATCATTTCTGGCTCAGCACTAATCTCCAGGGAGTGTTGCCGTGCTGCTGTAGCCCAGGGCCAGGCACCAGGCAGCGAGGACACGCCACTGACGGAGCATCGCTATCGCCAAATCACCTCCTGCCTTTCTCCTGCCATTACTTCCTCCACCACCCCCACCCCCAAAACCCTCCCCTGCCCTTCTTTCGTACTAACTAGAGGGCTGATGCCAGCTGACAAGCACCCTGATGTCTCCTGTAACAACACCCCGGCGCTGACTCAGTGCCCCGTGTCTGACAGCCTGGGTCTCAGCCAGACTGAAGCAGCATGTGGTTGCTCCCGGTGTGGTTGCTCCTGGCAGCTATAAACAAGGAGTCCCCTCCAAAATAAACAGCATCTCATGCAACAAGCAATGACCCTTCCTGGCTGCAACCTCCTCACCCTTAACAACTGGTATGAATGAGCGCCAGTTCATCCGCTGACTTTTACCCAGTTCATTGAAACATTTAGCATTCTGCTGTCATCACCGTTGCCACAAAAATCAAAGTGGGGAAGTCGGAAAGGACAAGTCTTTCGTCATGTCCTGTGCAAATGCCAAGGACTATTCCCTCAAGGCATGTGTTTGTGGAACCGTCCAAAGGACTTACAGCTACGCCGCCGTCATTTATAACTCCTACGATATAGGGGAGCAGCGATTTATGGAGGGTGGCTGCTCCTACATGAGATGACAAACAATGCTCTATGAATGGCTTTAAAAACGGCAATTAATGGGATATAATAAAATAGACTAGTTTATAGACAGCTGATGTGAGGCAAATAGAGCAGAGATGATGTTATGAATTGTACTTAATCCAAACTGCGCCCAAGGGAGAAAGGGAAATCTGAAATAAGCTTCATTCATTGCATTTTAAATCTAAGGAGGCAGTAAACTGCGTGACAGTGAAGCAGAGCAGCAGCGCTCACCTGGGCTGGGAGGCTGGATTTTGGGCTGGTTCTTTTTGGTGTCCGTGTTGAAGAAGTCTGGGGGAGGGTCCTCGCCGCGCTCCATTTTGCACTCAAAGGCGTACAAACACTGGATGTACTGTTTTTTGAGCGAGCTGGCTGCGCTGCTCGACGTGCCCACGTTCAGGTTGGTAGCCAGCTCCCTCCACTTCTTGTTCTTGTTCACCTGGTGGGCGAGAGAGGAAGGAGGTGGTTCAGAAAGCTGTATACAAATTTTTTTTTTTTTTTAAATGACCGACGATCGTCCTTCTGATCTGAAGGATTCACATCAAATTCAGGTGGAAGTCCAGGTGTACCTGGGTGAGGCCGCCGATCTCTTTGACGGATATGTAGAGCCTGAAGAGATCGAGGGGCTTACGGCCCACAGCGGGAAGATTGTTCATGCCCATGGCTTTCTCCTCAGCAAAGGCCAAGTATCGGTCCACCCAAATTTTCCTCTCTGGCTCCGGGCCAAGCTCGTACAGACGGGTTATTTTCTCATTGGTGATGGTGGAAGAGCTCGACTTCTGTTGGACGGGTGACGGAAGAAAATCGTAAGAACGAGAAAAAGGGAGGGCGGGGGGAAAAAAGCTGGACTTTGAATGTGTACCTTCTTGGATTCTGGCTTGGGAGTCCCGTCCACTTTGTTGTTCATCTTCGGAGCAGGATTCATTTTGTCCATGCCAAACTCTGAACTTGGAGCCATTCCTGGGAGAACGGGGGCAATCACAGAAGGGTATAAAAATAAAACGATTACCAGTCTATAAAACTGTTTTATAGACACAACCCTCAGGCCTGCAGCTGTACTCCAATCACCTGATCAGGGCTATAGTTTCACTTGTACTCACCAGGGCTATTGTTGGCTATGTTTGCTCCTGCCATTGGATACGGCCCTGGCCCACCTTGGTTTATCATACTGTGCATGCTGTTCATGCCTGGGCCATACGGAGAGCCTGCTCCCATCATGCCCTGGGACATGTTAGGATAGCTGGGTGGCCTACAGAAAAGAATGCTTGATTAGAAGAAATGCTAAAAAACAATAACCACAAAGAAACAACAGGATGATTAAAAGTTGCCACCCCTGTAGCAGAAACTAGAAATACTGGTCAGTTAAACTACTTATTTCTATTTTTCTAATGTCAAACCGAGTTAACATGTTGTTTCTAAGATGGCAAGCAGCAACTTGCCACTGCCAGGGCACACAGTCCCACTCTTTGTGACAGGACGTTGTAAACAAGCAAGCTGGGGAGGTAAGGTAGATGAAATCCCTGTGAGTCAGTGCAGTTCTGCAGAATTTTATTCCATACAATGAATGGTACTATCTCGAGGCTGTGTCAGAGTGAAATTAGTGCTGTTTCTACAATGGTCACTTGAACCTGGCTCCAAAAGAAAGTCAGTCTCCACAGACTCAGATGTTTCAAAAAGCGTGTTCACAGCCTGATACAAAAAAATGTGGCTTTGGCTTCTATAAATATTTTCCTGTAGAACAAGTCAACAGTGACTGACTGTTGTTTTTAACTTAAACATTCAGAGACTTTTATGGCCGCTATGACTGACAGATGCGCTGACACAGGTGGCTGGAGGTGAGCTACGTCTCAGCTCTGCTAATTCAAGTCTCTGAACTGGACTTCCTCACGGTGTTTGTGCTGTTGCTCCCTTTTGGATAAATTTTAATGGAATTTTCTGACAAATAATATGGTTTGCTGCCAACTTAATCGTACTACCCAGCCCATCCAATATGTCTGTGCAGCAGTTTTTGGTGAATGCAATTCTAGCATTCTATTTTTCTACCTTAATTTGAGCAAAGAGTACAAAAATAAGAAGAAAAAAAACATTTCATAGACGCAACCTTGGGGCCTTGTCCAAATATGGTCATGTTTCCTTTTAAAAAACAAAACATAAGCATCAAAACGTTGAGTCCAGAAAGTATTCTTCTGATTATTGTACTAATTTTAACTTTTTTCTCAGCGATTCTACAGTAGTTGACTAATCTAATTATTTTCACCTATTTAATCAACTAATAATTAGTCAGAAGTAATCCCTAAAAGGATCCACTGCAAATACAGACTTTGCCTGACTGAATTATGTCTTTTCCTTCACAGAGTTCAGTTTCATTTGTAGGAAACATTAATTTAAGTCACAGGGTACCATTTGCCAAGCCCACAAGAGCTGCTCTGTAGGCTCAACAGGCATCCCTGCTTAGGAAGGATGTGATTCAGTGATTGCAGGGACCATCTCCTCTTCTGTGATAGATAAGCGTTTGGGCTACTGCCACCACTCAAGCACTAAAACATGTAACAGACTGGCTTGTGTGTGAGGCAAACCAAGGAGAGAGAGACACACACACACACACACACACACACACACACACACACACACACACACACACACACACACACACACACACACAGCAAAGTGATGAGAAAATCTCCTTAAAGCTATAAATTCAATGACCCTCAACAGTCACAGGCTCACACAGATGTCACTGATGCAGCCAGGAGCACCCACCTGTTGTGTATAGAGTTTGTTGGTCCGTGGTGCATGGAAGGACCACCATCCTTCCTCGTCATGACCGGAGGGGGACACATGCCGGACCCCACCTGAGGAGGCATGCCGCCCATATTGGAGGCCATGGCAGGACCGTAAGGCCGAGTGCCCATCTGCCCAGGACCTATCCTGCCCGGTGGCATGCTTCCATACGGAGCCCCGCTGCCCTGACCGGGAATGGGGTTCATGGAGCCACCCATGCCGGGGCCACTGGGGTAATTGGCGTTGGGCATCCCTGTGTAGCCGGGCTGCCTGGGATAACCTGAAAGTGTTACAGATCAACATTTAGAGTTTCATGCCCTCCTGCTGTGTTTCAGCCTAAAACAGATCTCATCTAGTCACTTCTCACTGACGGGATAAAGAGTTTCACCAGTCCGGCTCTAAATTTACCTCAGCTTGTCAGAACAAGCAGCCTGATGAAGCGGGCTTTATCTGGCTCCCGCCTTTCTCTGCTATGACTCATAGCAGAACTTCTTCAAAGCCCACAGAAACCATCTGAGACTTCAAAGTGCACTGATATAATTTCATGAATGTAAGAAGTGAGAGGAAACTTCAAAGCCTCTTAGAAAAAAAAATCTGGGCTATCTGTGAAACTGTGATGGTCACAGGACAACCACTGTAAACTCATTCATAATATTTTGAGTATTAAAAAAAGAAAAAAAGTCTGCTTGATATGACAGAGCGGAGACACTGCACTCTTATTTTTCCTGCTGTACAGAAGGCCCTCAAAGCAACACCACCCAACACTCACAGCCTCATGTCTCACCTGGCGGGCCGTACTGGCCCCCCTGAGGGACGTAGTTTCCCATGGTATTGTTCTGAGGATAAGGGCCCATCCCACCATGGATCTGGACTCCTGAAGACTGGCGTGGAGATAAGGCCGAGCCAGGCTGTCCAGGGGACCCGTAAGGAGGCATCTGAGGATTGCGCATGTACACTGGAGAAAAGACAGGGAACATTAAGCAACACTGTTAGTTTTTTTTTTTTTTTTTTTTTTTACACACACATATCAAAGTTTGATTAATTCAGCAACCAATATTAAGTGGTAATAATTAGATGCCGATTGTATCTTATGTTAAACACTTAATGTTAAAAAAACCCAAGAAAATAAACAAAAAAACAACAAAAACAAAACTCCACGCTACATCTGCTTTAGCATACATTTGCACAACACATTATGGCTCAAGCTCTTCACTTCCTCACAAACACAACACAGTACAGTGTGTCTGCCTGCTCTCATTTGACCTGGCAAGTAGAGCACATTCTTATTTAGAAGCACAGCCTGGGGGAGTGCTTGCAGATGGGAGGAATGCATACAAGTGCAAACAATCACACCTAAAAGCTGCTGAGACACACACACTGCTGGCCACTGAGCACACGAGGAGATACTCTTTAAAGGTTTCTGTTTGCAAACATTTCCAACACACTCACCTCTGTCCTGGCTCATGGATGAGTGCATGATGCTGTCTGACTGGACGCTGGGCGGCCGAGGAGGCATCTGATTACCTGCGGGACAGCGATGACATGGGTCTGAAATTACCGTGGGAACCGCGGAAATTTGTCTCCTTTATTTACAATCAGTTCTTGCTCTTAAACTTTGAAATACTGGCCATAAAATGAGTGTGACCCAGTCACATTCAAGCTAATAAACTGTGGCAAGTCTCTCCACAATGAGCAGAGGGTGGCACTGTAACCTCCGTCTCTCCGTCAGCGAATGGTTTACTAGCATCATGTTAGGAGAAACTTAAAGTTCCATATCTTGCAAATCGCTTCATAAATTACAAATGTGATCCGCATCGAGTTTTGAATTAAAACTCTAAATCTGTCTGTTTTTTATTAAATATGTCAGACAGGATTTCTGCTGGATACGATGAATAGCTGACTACAAAGACATTGAAATTATTGTTGTTGGTTAGCCGTATCGAGCAGGTCCATTTTTACATTTAGCAGTCTTTGGCAAGTGAAAATAAATAACTGCTCAGTTGTTTCAGGACATCATATTTATGGTGATTTTCCTGTAAATATTCTGCATTTGTACTTTATCTACCGACACCCACATAATGCTATGTATTATTCTTCTAGAACAAACTTGGTTTTAATTTTCACATTTTTCCTTGCCATAAAATCCCCCTACGTAGTCTTTCGCAGCTGAATTTCAGATTTCAAAGACCATTTCAAAACGACTGAACTTAAAGACCTGAAGATCTAAAACAACTGTATTAAAGCAGAGTAGAAACAGAATAATGTTTTAGCTGTGTGCTGCTGTAGGTCTGAAACAACAGTATTAACGGTATTGTGCGTTTACCTGGCACAGCAGCGGGGGACAGGGGGCCGGTGCGAGAAGGGGTGACGCTAGCTGGGGAACCCACAGGTGACGGCGAGGGTCCACGTATGCCCGGAAGGTGAGGCGAAGTGTGCGGGGAGAAGGGTGACTGGGCCGGGTTGCTCTGCTCGCCCTGGCTGCTGGACACGCCCGAGGTGCTGACACCCGGGCTCAAAGCGCCTTCTGTACCAGTGGGAAGGTCGTCGATGGAGCCGGATAAATCCTTGAAGGAGAAGAGCAACAGAACATGAGTCGACGATGACACTGCATTCGTTCGTTTACACTGTAACAACTGGCTTAACAAATTTATTTTTACAATTCACATCACCAACTTGTTACTGATAACAAGTCAACACATTTCGCTCTCGCTTTTCCATAAAGTATCAGTTCCTACAGCTTGTGGAAGCATTTGCATCATTTTGTGAAGCGATGATGACTCAGCTGCTGATGAGTTCTCCTTAACATGAAGAACCACCAAGCAGATAAGCAGCTCCAGAACAGCGGCGAGGCCCACAGACGAGGAGAAAAGGGCCAGTGCTACAGTTCTCAAGCTGTAATGGCTAGCCGTTAGCTAAACGTGTAGCTATGAAGGGAAATTACCAAGCAATTAGCAATATCAACTCGATATGCAGTGAAGTGTAGTCAGCCCCGGCTGTGGCAAAAAGACGCATTGTCCAACAAGTTGCCTTTAAAAGTAACTGATGAGCATATGGGCTGCAGATACAGAACAAGAAAACTGTTCAGGTTTCATCAGACAAAACAAAAAAAAATCTCTGCCACTCTTTGTGGAGACTCAGCTTATGATGGGAAGAGAGAAATTAAGTGGAAGAACTGATACTTGATATCAAAGGTAAGGGTGTGTGTGTGCACGGGGATGTAAATGAGGCTCTAAAAATGTATAAAACCTAGAAAAAGAAAGCGGCTGCATTCTGGGAATCACATTTGGGAGAAATGAATAAGAAACGATGAATATATTCAGGCTTTTCTCCTCCTGACCTGCATGAGGAGGGTGAGACTGTTTTATTTTCAGTGTCATGTCAAAGTCAAGAGAAGTCAAATCAAGTGAGTGGAAATCCAAATGGGCACTGATGCATTACAGCAATCTTTGCCCTCACCGGGGTGTGTATGTTACTCTCTCATAGAAGGCTGCCAGCCCTATTACAGTTCAATAATACATTTGGGTACAATGACTTCTTTTCCCACCTTTTTAAAAATACTCCACACATCACTCCCATAATGCCGATAATGATCCGTGCTGGCAAGGAGAACTGAGTTTGACTTGCAAAGAGAAAGTGGGGGGAAGAAAAAAAAACAACATTTGAAGCGAGTCATCTCGGGAGGCAGTTGAAATAATTGGTGCTGGGCACGGGCTCTGGTGCCATGTGGTGTTGTTATTGAGCCTCGCTGGCTGCGACACAAAGACGGGCGGGCGGGCAGGAAGGTAGGAAGGCAGCCGGCAATGATTATGTTTGTGGGAAGGTGAATGTTTACACACTGGCCACTCACGTGGAGACCATGTGCTCACTCAGAAATGCAAGCTCATCTGCCAGTCACATCGGAGGAAGGGAAAAAAATGGGAGGGAGTGAGGAGGAGGAGGAGGAGGAGGAGGAGGGGGTGGGAGAGAAAAATAAAGCAGCACTCATTGGATTGTGGCCAACTATTCCCATAGAAATCTCACACTCGCAGGCTGGCTGCAGCCCCGAAGCCGGCGGTTTTGCACTTGAAACGGCGCCCGTTGCTATTTTTGGGATGTGACCTGATGGAGGAACCCCAGAGGGAGTGACAGGAGGACGACGCTGATTCAGAATCCACCCTTCCCTCCCCCTCCAATCCACCCTCACCCCGTTCCTTCGGCCCTCCCTCCCTCCGGCTCTTCCTCTCCTGCTCCGGCGACTGCACAAACCCAGGCCTCTCTGACCCACACTGGAAACACGGCACCAACAAAACCACGTGAAACGCAGCAGGAAGGGAGTATCGCACTCCAAAGTGTTTCCCTGGCTGACGCCCAATTAATGTTCTCAAATGCAAAAGTGGGTTAGAGGCACATCATTAGGTCTTCGTGCTTTGGAATCAAGAACAGGGAACCGAACAGCGTGACATTCTTTGCTCAAACAACCATAGCAGGAACCCTTTTTCCAGCAGCCAGCATCGTCAGCTGACCTACACCCACCCCCTCCTTCTCCTGTTCCCAACCAAGAGATCACAAGACTGGTCATCTGACAGAGGGCTCCATCTGAAGGGCTCCGACTGGCCAGATGCCACGATGACCACCTCTGTAGTTGGTACTCACAGAGACTCAGAAGCTGCTGCTCAGAGTCAAATCTCAGTCACAAAACAAGTTCTAAACCACGGCTTCCTCAACACAGACCAAAGAGGAAAGGACTCAGTTAGTGGGTTCAGCTGAGGAGACACACCTCAGCAGGAGGATGCACACTCAAGACGAACAAACTGTCAACATGAGACAGAAAAAAGGATTTAACATATGATCGTGGATGTGGGGTACTTCTAGAGATCCATGGGGGTGTAAAAGCAGAACAAGATCAATCGAGTATATCAGTCGTCATTCTTGGTAGTACCGCCTCACAGTGGCTTTTAAACCATATTAAGATTTGGGGATTGAGGTAAACTGTCTGATTATTATAGTTTGTGTAGTTTCGTTTGTGTAGTGGAGTTCCTGCCTTTTTTTATTAAGCCTATTTTCAGTTGACAGATTTACTTTTAATCAAAGGTTGGCAGTGATGTAACTCCAAACTAGTTACGCATGAAACACACATTTATGTTGTCGTCTTGGAGCCTAGAGGTTGATGACCACCAGCTACACACAGAGACAAGAATCATGCCATTAAAGCAACTATCACTTTACACCAATCAAGATTAGATGGGTTAGGATGGACCACCATATTATCACGCAATACCAGGATTTCAACGATCTTTGGCTGTGTTTGGGTTCCAACGACCATTTCCAAACAGCATTGATTAAAGCTCAAGAGAATCATATTAAATAACCACGTTTGCATTGTTCTGGTGCTAAAATTGAACTCCTAACTCTGAGACGGACTGTTAGCGGTCGTCATTCCTGCCACACTTTAAAGTCCACCGTGTGGCGTGCATGGCTAATTGGTACACTGAAGTGTGCATCATGTGTCCAGCAAAAAGCTTGGATTGAGTTAGCTGGAATAAGGTTGTGAGAGCAGTCTTCCATTTTTATTTTCCTCCAGATTACAGAATATCTGTAAGAAACAAAAAGAAGCTGGTTGGTGCTAACAGGTCCAGACTGGGACCAGAATAAATCAGCAGGACTTTAAAGTGACATAACATCTGAGAAAAACAGGAAAGTAAACAAAAAAAACAAACAAATGTGTTTTTGTGACAACGCTGCATGGTACGGCATGAAAACCGCAAAATTTAAAATATCCCTTAATGGCCTGATAACGCCGGCAAAAGCTCTGTTTGTGCAGCCTGTGTGCACTGCTACAGTGGCACGTATGCAGCGTACAGACTGAGCTCTTTAACATTCTGTAAATATCTGACAGCTCTGAATCCTCAGCTTGGATAGGCAGAAGAATTGTACACACACACACACAAGCTCCTACCTACTCCCACTCTGCAGTCATTGATTTTTCCCAGCTCAATACTGCACAGCACCAGCCTGTTCTGCTGACTGCACAAGCCGGACAGCGAGGAGAGGACGGAGGGGGAGGGGTGGTGGATGCTGGTGATACTGATGCTGCTGAGGCTCTGCTATTCAACACGCTCATTATTTAAGGCAAATGATGAAGAGGAGGAGAGAGGACATAGATCAGGCATGAGGAGGAGTTGAGAGGTGGCGTGGTTAAGTTGGAGTAGCGTGTGAGCACAGGTGGGGTGTGTGACTCTGTGTGTGGAGGGGGGGGGAGCTTGAAGGAAGGTCACAGCAGCATTATCAATGGCAAATATGACAACTGACAATATGAAAATACAGAAACGAGCCATTTCTCTATGTGCAGGGGAAGAAAGGGGAGGACCGGCGAGCCGTGTTGCAGAGAGAGCAGCAGAGAAGCTGCAGCTCTTTCTGTAGAAAGCCTCTCTGTGGCAGCCATTTTGTGCTTTTTCCCAGCACTGCCTAACATGGAACTTCAGAGCTGAGAAGTGCAGAACAGACTTCGGGAGCTTTCAAAGGCTAAAAAGCAGCGTTTCGAACGATGAATTCGTTTCAAATTCATTTTAAAAACGATACAAACTTTCCAGAATTTTATTCTTCTTCGTCTCCTTCTTCTAACGCACTTCTTGTTCACAAATGCTGAAAATCTTTGCTGCTCCCACAATTCTTACATTCTCCACATCTCTCTCGCCCGTGCTGTCTCTGAGTCATCTGCTCCGCTCTCTGCCGTCCTAATGTATTCCATTTGCAGATTACTTCACTGAATCAATCAAGCTCGACCAGAGCCATTAGTCTGCCAAGCCAGCCCTTTTTCTCCCTCTTTTTTTTCTTTGGTAGGTTATGAGAAGCAGAAAGTGGAAGAAGCAGCGTAGTGGCTCGGAGTTAATGACACGTATCTGGAACATGTAACCCTGGTCAGTGGTGTAACTAGATCTGGTGGTGGTGGTGGTGAGGAGGAAGAGGAGGAAGAAGAGAAGGGAGGGGGGGTGCCAAAGTTCATCTTTGAGTCACACACTTGCCCTGACCCGCTTCATTCTGTCATCCTCAGACCTCAGAGTCTCACCCGCTGCCTGGGCTGGCAAGCTTCCTCGTTCTCAGGCCTCCAGATGCTGAACACAATATATACAGCAAGAACAAAACAAAACAAACCCAGCTCGCTCAGAGTCGACACATCCGCTGTGGCAAAGTGAAGAGAGTAAGAAGAAAGGGATGGAAGAGGAAGAGGGGGAAGCTGGCTGCATGTCAAGGGCTGCCATGGTTACTGTGATCCACGTGGTTGACACGTTAGAGCCGACACAGTCCCTCCCCCCTGTTGCTGCCATTCCTAGGTCTGTCTGTCTCTGTCGACGGCCTCCCTGCGTGCCTGGCAGGGTCACGGTGCAGTCAGCTACTACAAAAGAAGAAGCCCGTCATTGTTACAGGAAACGCAGACGCACCAAAGCCCTGTTCAACCCCCCCCCCAATATCCCTCCAGCTCCTTTAATTACATTTGTTGGGGAGGCCTGGGAGACAACACGGAAGCACAAAGTGGACAGGGCACGCTCAAACTTTGTCTTTTTTTTGCCATCTCATTCTGGAGATG